TCGGAAACGCGACCCACTGAGAAGATCCGGCGAGAAACTCAGTGGGCTGTGTCTGTGGGTTAATTTTTTTTTTTTTTTTTTTTTTTTTTTTNCGTTCGCGAGGTTACGGGCATTCGTGAAATTTATATTTTTGGCCTTAAGGGCCAGGCAAACTCGATCCCAAGCTGCCTTCTCCTGAAGGATAACCGGGGGAGGGGTCTGGGTTTTATTTTGTGCCACCGGACGCGGCGACGGAGTGGCACGGGCTGGGGGGTGGGTTAATTTGCTCGTCGAGCCCTTCGTCGCAAGCGATGGGTTCGACGAGAACGATGACGAATCTCAAAGTGGGAAGTAGACAAAATAAGTTTGGGAGCCCCTGTGTTAGACGCTACTGGTAGCAGCGACTAAAGCACTTGTTACGTCGAATTAGGTCAAGTGAAGCCCATAGCCCCAGCTCGCTGAGTTTCCCGCCGAATATTCTCAGTGACTCGCCATTCTGACCCGGTGCTTTTAGATACCACAAGCACCGTTCGCCGTCCTCGTCGAACCCGTCACTCGCGACGAGGGGCTCGACGAGCAAATTAACCCACAGACACAGCCCACTGAGTTTCTCGCCGGATCTTCTCAGTGGGTCGCGTTTCCGATCCGGTGGTAGATTCTGCGAAGCACTGCTTGTTAGGGTCAGTGTTAGCACCACTTCGGTTTGAGCCCCGTGAGCTCACCTACCAGCTAAGGTTACGCTGAAATAGCCTCTCAAGGCTATCAGCTTAGGTAGGGGAAAAAAAAGTCCACTCGTTCCGGTCAAGTGATCATCTATATTAAGTGTATAATCTATGGATCATCTTTATATCACAATATAATATAATTAATATTATAAAGAGGAAAGATTTGTTTGTTTCGAATAGGCTCCGAAACTACTGGACCGATTTGAAAAATTCTTTTTCCATTAGAAGCCGACATTGTCCCTGATGAACATAGGCTACTTTTTTTAATATTTTTTTTATTTTATTTTTTTGGTTTCATGTGTGTTTTAATGTTTCCGAAGCGAAGCGAGGGCGGGTCGCTAGTATCACAATAAAAATGAAATCTATTAGATAAGCAGGTTTTATGATCACGACAATGCTTTTAGAACAATAATGTCGAAAACGTCAATGAATCTGAATATTAATTAATTCAAATAATCCTGACAGCATGAGGCGGACGCGATGCTCTCTCAAAAGCCTACGCTGTTGTTACACTGTTTGCGTCTCGTCTGCCCTCGAAATTAATCCTAAAATAGAACAAAACCAAATTCAAGAGTTCTATGATAAATAATGTATTTTTTTTCTAATGAATATTCAAGTTATTCGGTAAGCCAGCCAAGTTTACTTTTTACTAATCGGTAATCAATATCTTTTTTTTTCCTACGCTGATAGCCTTGAGAGGGTATTTCAGCGTAACCTTAGGTAGTAGGTGAGCTCATGGGGCTCAAACCGAAATGATGCTAACACTGACCCACCTGAGAAACCACCAAAACTTACAAAATTGTGCACAAACAGAGGACTACTACGCTCTCTAAATAAAATACCCTGAACTTTTATGTGAGAAATTACATGTGAGAGAGAGAACCCGTTCTTTGTTATACACTTTAAAGACTGTTAGAAAGAGTAAGATCTATATTACTCGTTAAACAAGTGACAGATATACCTATTAACCCCATCCAAAATTTGGACGTTTAACACTTAAGTTACGTCGTTTCTCTTCAATTTCTACCAGGAATACATGAAGGAAAGGAGAGTTGTTATTACACTATTTGGAAACTATTTGTTTTTTTCTCTTTCTTTACTTACCGTTTCGACACCTATCTTGGATGCCTTCATCGCCAAATGACCAGGTCCTTCAACGGTTCTTCCGTCGTCATTAGGTCCCCACGAGGCACTGTAAATATCAACCTTATCAACAGCATATCCTGTGAACAAAAAATAAAAGTTTCGAAGTGATTTCAATTAACTTTTTTTTAAATCATATATTAAGCATAAGAAAAATCAAGGTCGGCTCACAAGTACATTTTAAGAAAAATGAAAAAAGCATAAATTGTAAAAATCGAAATAGGCGTAAACATTTTTTTTTACTTTTTTTTCCATCTATTCGCTGATAGCATATGGAGCTATTCCAGCTACGCACAGACGGTTATTAGGTGAGTTCCTGGGCTCTACCTACGAGAATTTGCTAATACTATTCTTATTAAGAGCAGTGCTTTGCAGAATCTATCACCGGATCGGAATCGCGACCCGCTCAGAAGATCCGAGGAGAAATTTAGCGGGTTGCCGTGATTACTTTGACCTTTTTTTTTTTAAATAAAACTTTTTTCTTAAACAACAGCTGTCAGCTTAACAAGCTATAGTCCACTAACTTTGAAACCACTAGGACTACATAGAATAGGAAGATCTCGCTGAAACACCAAATAACAAGTCTTTATTATTTACTATGCGAGAAACTCAGTGGGCTGTGAATCACTATCGATCGAGACTTTATGAATTGCGAAGACACCGCGTTCTTCTTCAGCACGTGCGTGGAAGCGCATGGAAGCCGCTGGGTGTCAAGAGAGCCATTGACCGAACATAGATGGAACATAGTATTAATACTTTACGCTGACATGGCTACGGTTTGGAATCGGTGCAGTTTTGTTACGTGTGACGTCACTTAGGGTCACGTCTTTGAATTAAACGTCTCTGTAATTAAAATATTGTAATGATAGGTTAAGCCGCTTTAATATGGACACCTACCAGTAAAAAGGTTTTTACTCCCATATATTTCTGTATTTGCAAGAACAATTTACCTGAAATAAGCATTCGAAATTGGACCATAATGTAATGAATTTTAAGTTTGAACGTCATTGAAGATCTACATTTTGAGTCTCTCGTGCGTAGTCATTGATTTAATGATATAGTTATATTTCAACTCTCTGTGCGTAGTATCGTAGAATGATGTCGATGGATTTCACGGTGATTTGGACAGTCTACTATTGTCAATCGATGGTTGATTGCGTAATCCACAGGCAAATTACGGAATATACACACATTAGCCACATTTTAACTGTAATAACATACCTTATATTCCAGTTCATTTCGGAAACAAATGGTATGTAGTCTAGGGATGAATTCTTCTCCGGTGGCGGTGCGATGATAAAACTCAAACAATTGGTCAGGTCGCTCTGTATGGAACCTACGGTACAAAATACAGAGAGATCCGAAGTCCCTCCGTAGACCCAAGGCCTTCATGGGCGTACCAAATAATTAATGATAGTGTTCTGGCTGGTCCTTATTCATTTTGAACGAAGATTTCGAACTTTTTTTTTTAAACTTATTGATGCACAAACACACCTACCACCACCGAGAAGATCGCGCGAGAAACTCAGTAGGCTGTGTCTATGGGTTAATTCGCTCGTCGAGCCCTTCGTCGACGGGTTCGACGAGGACGGTGACCGGTACTTGTGGTATCTAAAAGCAGCGTTAATGGATCGGGAGGATCCGTAATTACGTGCTTAGGGCGACGTCGACTGTTTACCATTCGGTTTACAGGACCGGGTATATTATGGCACTCAGCAAATCCATATTAATGTACGTAACTTTGGCTATTGAAAACAAAATTACAACATAATATCTCGATGCAAATTACAAATAAAAATAAAATGAAGAGTTACAGGAAAAAGAAAAAAAACGGTATCCACATTAGTAGACAACAATACAACACTTGAAACATTATACATATTGATAACTAGCCATTGTTAAATATCCTTCACGCATCTGACAAATTCCCTGAGTCTAGGTTCAAAGATATCAAGGTCACCGTGACATTTAGCCAAATAATTATCTAATATCTTAAAGTGGGCATAACGGCAATTTCGTTATAGTATAGTATTATATTATATAGGTAGTAATACTCGGGTCCTCCTCCTCGAGTCGTGTTCCTCATGTCTGAGGGTCGTGACCACCATCACCCATGAGCTTCAATCTTAGGATTTTTTTCCACTTTCCCCTGTCCACGGCGTCATGCAGCGCGCTGTACACTGTACATACATACATACATACTCGGGTAGCCGCTTATCAAATGAACTGTAAGCAGGTCCAGCACGCTTTTAAAGTCCACCACGCTAAAAAGCTTTTCATTGGTAAAAATAAAATTAATCAACATAATATCCCTAAGTGGATGCAGAGAAACTTTTATAACATAACTAGCTTTTGCCCGCGACTCCGTCCGCGTGGAATAGTTACTTTGGCATAACGCTAAATTTTACCCCCCACTTCATTTACGTAGAAAGTGAAATTATTTTGAAACATTATTTATTGGTGCTCCACTTGTATCAGTCTTACCGTGATGTTGTCAATAAATGGGCTTTTTTTTTTTTTTTTTTTTGTCAGGAGGAAATCGCCGGACTCCCACCCTCCACTGGGATGGAGGATAGGGCATGTCGGAGTCGAACCGACTAAAACCTCCTGTCGCTCAACAACCAACGTCCAACCCTCGCATGAGACAGAACTCATGAAAAGGCAAGGGGAGGAGAGTGAAGCGTTTAGTGCGGAGCACATCTCTCCNGTGGAACACCGCGCACGACCGGGAACCGATGTACGACCCCACCGTGTCCGGTACACGTGACCGATCTGTCCTCCAAGTAGGAGCCGACCAGCCGGCGAAGGTAGAGGGGCACTCCGTGTCTTTCCAGCGCCCCCCCTATCACGGACCAGGGCAGGGTGTTAAACGCATTGGCGATGTCGAGCGACACCGCCAAGGCCACCCCACCCCCAATAAATGGGCTATCCAACACTGAAAGAATTTTTCAAATCGGCCCCGTAGTTCCTGAGATTAGCGCGTTCAAACAAACAAACTCTTCAGCTTTATAATATTAGTATAGATTTATGTTTAGTAGTCAATTTCTTAATGTTTCAACTAAGTTAAGTTTTTCTTCTGTTTCTATGTGAGTCATCTATAAAACTGAACAGATTCCGGAGCATTGGTTATCTATCAGTCGATCCGCCCGATGCCGTGATGCCGGTAAACAAACTCCACGCTGTCGGGGAAAAAAAACTCGGGCTTCCTCTCATTTGTTTTCGGACCGGCCGTTAGTGTTTGTTTGGACACCGTCTGCTAAAGTACTCCCATTAAAACAATTAAACAAACTTTAGTCGCAAAAAGAAGAACAAACTTTTGTTTGAGCGTAACAATCGAAAAACAATTGTTTGAACGAAATGTTCTCGGAAGTAATGTTCTTAAATTTAATCGTTTTGGTCGTGTCGTGGTATCCGTATGAGAACGGTTTTATTGTACCAGGCGAGCATAGGTATCGTGGAGTTCACGATGGCTCGAAGCACGCTAAGAGCTACCTCAATGAGTGGACGGTCGAAGTGGACGGCGGTGAAGAGGTCGCGCAACTGGTGGCTTTGGAACTTGGATACGTCTATGGCGGCCTGGTGAGGAAGACAGTTCTTACTTCTAGATTTAGACAGCACACGAATAATATATAGACCCGTGAGACATGCTTTTTTTTTTCTGCATCAAACTAATTACCTTTTTAATAATGTAGGAAGTAAATTGCTTATCGCTGATTTCAAAAAAAACAACGTATAGATCATTCTTTGTTTGCGCTCAAGGATGAATTTGTCTTAGTTTTTAGAAACGCATTAATGATGTCTTGGCTTTATAATTCTGTGTAATGAAAAGAAACATAATGATAGGGTAAACCGCAATATTATTAGTGATACATGCTTGCCGACAAAAAAAAATTGTTGCTATTTATTCCTAAAGCTATAATTCGACCATACTGTCGCCAGGTTTGAGCCCCGTGAGCTCACCTACTTATTAGGGTTACGCTGAAATGGCCTCTCAAGACCATCAGATTAGGTAGGAAAAAAAAATCGACCATAATTCGTTAAATTAACACGCTTTTATTAGCTTCATACGTATCTTAGTGTGTAACAGAAACTTTGAACATGTATTTGACCCCCTTCAAAACGTCGAATTAACTCGAACTTTGGCATACTTATCAAGGACCGATGACAATTCAATTTTTTAAACAGCTAGACTCTTTATCTTTACTAGGATAATCAGGATTGGCGATTTTTTGTTGGAATTAGCACTCAATTTTAAGAGCTCTTCGACAAAACTAACAAAGCCTAATTCAAATTCTGTACAAATTAATAGGTAATTATTGACATGTTATTGTTTAATTGTAACACCATATTTAATAGACAATACTTTAGTGCTTTTTAAGACACTATCAAAATTATAATCCTCGACTCAAACTATTAACTAACTCAAAAAATTATTAATTTTTTTTTAATTTAATGTTTACGATGCGAATTTTAATTTTCTCGTGCACATTTTTAAATTAGGTGCCTACATCGCTGGGAAATGCATACTTATTGCATACTTAGCTATGTTAAAGACTAAACTCGTACCTACATGAAAGGGTTACAAATATTTGTCTTCACATGTAAATACCCGTATATAATATGTTTAATATAATTTTGCAAGTTTATATAAAACTTAACAAAATTAAATTCCAAACTTCTTTGTTCTTCGCATCAGCTCATTGAGTTTCTTGGCGGATCTTGTTAGCTCTTCGGGATTTCGATCCGATATTTACCACAGAAAACAACAAAAAAAGCTAGAAGACTACCTGTGGTACTGACTTGTAAAAATGAGCTAGACAGGAAAAAATTTAATTACTAATGGTTATTTTGCTTGTAATAGGACCTACGCATGTATAAGCAACTTCACCACTCTCATCTTCATTCATTCTCAATCTCTTCATCTCCGCCGCGACGCGATTGCGTGATTACGCGCTTCGATTTAAAGGGTAACACAACTGTTCAATAATAAAATACAATTGAGATACACAAAAAATTTAAAAATTCGAACGCTAAAGTGTCAATAATCGTACAGTTGACCCTAACTTTGTCGTCAGCAAAATATATCTAGGTATCTCTTCAATAACTTAACAAATACCTAGCCTAAGTATCAGCCCCAATTCCTCAGAGCACATTCCGTGGTGCATACGGTACAAACAGCGGAGATAACATACTGTTATGATCTGTGAGGTATAGCTGCCACTCTATTATTGGAGATTATAGACCACAATATTGATGTTCCCCCTTCTCTAACCTCCCCCAGGTTAGAGATTGTAAACAGTCGAGGTCGCCCTAAGCACGTCATTTCGGGTCCTTCCGATCCACTAACGGTGCTTTTAGGTACCTCAAGCACCCTTGCTTGCGACGAAGGGTTTGACGAGTAAATTAATCCACAGACACAGCCCACTGAGTTTCTCGCCAGATCTTCTCAGTGAGTCGTGTTTTTGATCCAAAGGTAGACTCTGCGACGCACTGCACTTGCTAGGGCTAGTGTTAGCAACGTCCTCTGGTTAGTGCCTCGTGAGCTCACCTACTTGTTGGCTTACGCTGCCATAGCCTCTTAAGGCTTAGGTAGGAAAAAAGAAACTAGCCTCCCTTAAAACAAAAGCTTCGTCATAAATAATATAGACAATTAAGTTTCAATTTAAATTACCCAGCCAGAGCTGGCCAGGGATTAATGTGAAATGAAAATTTTAATTGGTTCGGGAACGTATAACGCTGGCGCCGCACCTAATTTCGTGAAACTTGGCATAAACCGCTCCAGTAATTTGGTATTTTGTTTATTTAAAACAAAATAGACTTTCTAAATAGAGCTCTAAGCTGCTTTTTGGGCGTATTGTGAATCCGCGCGGGTATATACGTCCATCCTACCTATTACTGCCGAGAGGCAGTCATGAGCTGCGATTGGAAGGGTAGGATAGGCGTTCCACAATTGAAGACATGAGTGGATGAAGGGGATAAGTACTATTTTTAAGATTTTTGCGTTTTTACATTGAATGAAGGTGTTATGTAAACCATATTAGACTTTAAAACTCCGGGTTTTAAGGCTATTTTTAGAAATTGCATGTGCAAGCCGAAACGCGTTAATGCATCACGGCAGAAATAGGCAGGGTTGTGGTACCTATCCGTGCAGACTCACAACATGTCCTATCATCAGTAATTACGCAAATACTACGCAAATATATGGATCAATTATAACGTGCATTCATATGGAGGGGCTTTTTCTGTGCCTTCATTTGGTGTTTCTTTTAGTTCATGCATTTTTAGTCCTCTGATCTGCATTCCGTTTTCTGCATTTATTTCCGTTATCTGGTATCTGTAACACAAGCTTTTTACGAACTTAGGACGGGACCAGTTAACGTGGAGTGATTGTTTGAAAAAAAAAAAACGTTTCTCTGTATTTTCATAAATTCCGAACCTTGATTATAAAAGTTAATAAAACACCGCATTCAAATAAATCTTATCAATATTATCGGGCCGATAAAACCTTAAACAAAATGAACTCAGGCTCGAATCAAAGCGATGACGCGAGCGATATCTCGAGTGGCCACTTATGATAGAACGACCAGTTTATTGGACGAGATATTAGAGGCATGCGACAGTATTGTGGACAGGGATATGTTATTAATTTTTTGGTTTCAATCACAGAAACAACGAATACATATTTGGATAGTACAGATTGTAGAGTTATGGATAGCCCACTGAGTTTCTTGCTAGATCTTCTCAGTGGGTCCGATCCGGTGGTAGATTCAGCGAAGCACTGCTCTTGCTAGGGCTAGTGTTTGTAAATTTGTCAGGCTGAGCCCTGTGAGCTCGCCTACACGTTCGGCGAATCTATAACGCCTTGAGGTTACAGGAATAGGTAAAAAAACACGCGTGGCATTCGGGGACTGCCGCGGTACTACTCGTAAAGCTATTGCATAGCATTTTTTATCAACTTTTGCAACCATAATTAGACAATAATAATTTAATATTAAAAAAATAATAATAAAATAAGACCACGCTATGTTTATAAACATTAACAAAAGCAAAACATTAACTGTCCCCTCCACACTCATAAGCTAGACCGGGTGAAAAAGAGATGGGCAGACTTTTCATGATGCGCATGCAGAGAGACGTCACGCCGCGCACTTATTCACAAACGCTACACAAGCGCAACATGTGAATGTGTTGAATGCGAGCTACATGGTAGGCGGAGTGAGGGGTGTTAGGTTTTATTTTCGTTACGGAATTTCATAATTCGGTCGCTGCGCTCAAAGCCCGCGATAAAAGCTATGCAATAGCTTAAAAAATACGCTTAGACAAATAAATAAATTTACATCAGTGGAGCTAAGTAGAACAAATTGATAATCTAAATGATAATATATGCAGTTGTAATAGCTAAAAAAGAAACACAAATCTAAATATGAATCATTAATTTTACCCTTTTTTATCCTCTTCTTACCGGCCAGGAAATTAGAGTGAAGTTATAAAATTATTGTGAGTAGGTATTATCATAAGTCCTTGATGCACGTGCAAATTTTAAACTGTATCCGACGTTTTGAAGTCATTGAGAATGACCTTCAAATTCATTTACGTACGAACAAACATACACACATAGCAAGCTAATAACATTAAAAGCGCGTTAAAAAAGATTACATGTGTTGTCTAACAAACAATTAGTCTCGCAAACTGAGATAAATGTCGTGCGTTAATTCCTGACTATTTGTCACTGTTAGCGACCGACAACAGTGGACGGCCCGTGTGTCGTACAATACTGTTTTTTTTTCCTACCTAGTTGAGAGTCTTGAGAGGCTATATCAGCGTAACGTTGCTAACACGAACCCTAGCAAGAGCCGTGCTTCGCAGAATCTACCACCAGATCAGAACGCGACCCACTGAGAAGATCCGGCGAGAAACTCAGTGGGCTGTGTCTGAGGGTTAATTTACTCGTCGAGCCCTTCGTCGCAAGTGACGGGTTCGACGAGAACGATGACCGGTGCTTGGGGTACCTAAAAGCACCGTTAGTGAATCGGGAGGATCCGAAATGACGTGTTTGGGGCGACGTCGACTGCTTTCCATTCTGTTCGCAGGATCGGGAATGACAATACTGAACGTTATTTCTATGTATAAGTAGTGCACGAGCGACATAGAGAAAACACAAGCCCACTGAGTTTCTCGCCGGACCTTCTCAGTGGGTCGCGTTTCCGATCCGGTGGTAGATTCTGCGAAGCACTGCTCTTGCTAGGGTCAGTGTTAGCATCACTCCGGTTTGAGCCCCGTGAGCTCACCTACTAGTTAACGTTACGCTGAAGTAACCTCTCAAGGCTATCAGCTTAGGTAGGGAAAAAAAATAGGGTTCGTGTTAGCAACGTCGTCAGGTTTGAGCCCCGTGAGCTCACCAACTAGTTCAGGTTACGCTGAAATAGCTTCTCAAGGCTATCAGCTTAGGTAAAAATAATAATTGAGAAAACAGCTCTCAAGTTTTCTTTGAGGATTTACTGGTGGCCCGAAGGCCTTTCCAGTTTCACAAAGACAGGTAGGCGAGCAAAGGCTCAGCCAGAAGGGGCGGGATTTGCTAA